GCGGACCTGACAACAATGCAAACTTTGATAAGCAGTTCTCGATAATCTCTTCTCAGCAATTATTTGTTATTATTACAGTTTAACATTATAAAATTAACAAAAATAATATAAAACTCATATTCTGGCGAAATAGCCACTTGGCAGCTGAAAACCGTATATTCCCTTCCTGTTCTCCCACCCATTCCTGCATTCTTTCCAAAAATTTTTAAAATGCCTCAGGACGCCAGACAAAATGTTGAAAAGCAGGACTGTCCCTCCCGCCAAAAGTGGGACGTTTGGTCACCCTAACCATGACATCCATCCTAGCTCATAGCAACCTCAAACTCCTGGGCTCAAGTGATTCTCTTACCTCAGTCTCCCCAAGTAGCTGGACTACAGGAGCCTGCCACAGAGCCTGGCTATTTTTAGGGATGAGGTGTTACACTGCCTCAGGGTGGTCTTGAACCTGTGAGCTCAGGCAATCTACCTGCCTTGGCCTCCCAGAGTGCTAGGATTACAATGGTCTCCCTTAGGACGGAAAGTGACATAGATCTGGCCCTGGGGCCACGTAGGTGTGTTAAATCTATTTGACGAAAGGAATGTTTCTTCTTAGTGATTAGCAATTTGTTCCACATTTCAAATTATTGAGCTCTAAATAGTGAGAGTGAATTGGATTGCATGAATTCACTTCATTTACTTCAATTTTTTAAAAAGAGGAAGAGTATCACCATCTTGCCTAGGCTAGCCTCAAACTCTGGTAATCCTCCTGCTTTAGCCTCCTGTAGCTGGGACTAGGTAGGTCAATGCTGTTGTTGCTATTGCTTGTTCCTACATCTGGAATGTTCTCCCTTATTGCAGCCCACTTAACACCTATTGAACCTTGCTCTGAGCTCAACCATCACTTCCTCAGAAAAGCCACCTTACCTCCTCAAGGGGTTCTCTTAAGTTTCACAGTACCATGGATTTTCCCTTCTTATCCCTGTGTGTGCAATTACAATTATATTTACATGTTTCTCACTTAATATTCTCTCTCCTATTTACCATGAGGCAAAGGAAGTCTAGTCTGTTTGGTGTTGACTATTTTATTAATATCTATCCAGCAGGATGGTTTCTGACACATGGCATTTTCTTATATTCTTTGCAGGAATGAATTAAAGCTAAAACAAATTATAAAATAATATAAATGTATGGCAAAAATCCCTATACAGGGTGACCATAAAGTTTGTGTACAATTTAAAATACTATGCAATTTTAACTTTATGGCCAACCTAGTATAATCCTTCAAGTTAAAAATTATTAAATACCTAATATTTAGAAAGTATCTTTTGATTCATAATTATTATGGATCCTATGCTTCAAATTAGAAAGTTCTATTGACTGAATGTTTGTGTCCCCCCTAAATTTATATTGAATCTTGAACCCAATGGGATAGTATTAAGAGGTGGGTTAGGTCTTGAGGGGGTAGGCTTCATGATAAGACGAGTGCCCTTCTAAGAAGGGATATGAGATAATAATCTCTCTGTCATATGACGTTACTACAAAGAGATGACCATCATGGTTTCAGGCGGAATCTCTTGGCACCTTGATCTTGGACTCTGAGCGTCCAGATGTGTGAGAAATAAGTACTTGTTGTATACTCAGTCTATGATAATTTGTTACAGCGGGCTAAACTAAGTCAGAAATGAAACTCGTGGTGTTAACTTTACTCCTCCTGGTTTAGAAAACAGTGTTTATCACATCTAGTTTTCATTGCTTAACGAGATGACACTTTTGCCTTTGAAAGATTTTTAATTTTCCCCAATTTTTCATTTACACAGAGAACTGATAACAGAGAACTAGATGCAATAAGGGTTCATTTTGGATTTTATAAAATCAAATCCCAGGATACTTACAGAATCAAAGTGTTTATAATCATCTATACAAAACAATTTTTAAGTGCAAGTCATTATCAAATATGTACCACATTATGTACCATCAGAGCTTCTGGTACCAATAGCATCATATGCAAATTGTGATAATAGATGGTAACTTCAGTGGCATTATGGTAATATTTAACCTCTAGCTGGAGGCGGGGTACAGTGGATTTTGTACCAATTTCCCAGGTGTAAAAGCCCTTACAAATTCAAGGCACAAGACAGTTGCTGAATGCATAGCTGGAAAGAGAGGCACAGCTCTCACAAGCTGAGATGTGGTAACTCCAGCATACCAATTGTTCTACTTGTAACATCTAATTACAGAATAATTACCAGAAATAATCTTAGAGAAAAATGTTATTTAGATCTGCTTCACCATCTTATTCCACAAGGATTACATATGATACTGGTTGATGTAAGATGTACAGTTTGCATTAAAGTTGGACAAAGCCGAGACTATCAAAATTTTGGGAGCCCAGGCTCTTCTTAAATGTTATGGTAAAGCTTTTAAGTATGTTACAAAGCTGCTGAAAACAAGCTTGATTTGCTTATCCAAACATATGGCAATTTCTGCTTTTAAGGCAAAAGACCCCCTCAATCTTCTAATAGAATTTATAAGCAATTCAATAGAGGGAGAAACATTAGACTTTAAAAAGAAAACCACTGACTATATTCACATGTCTTTTTAGAAATCTGTCAAGAATACTTTGTCACACACACAGAATTGGATTCAATAAAAGCTTTTTTTTTTTTTTTCCCAAAATCAAAACCCAAAAAGTTACAGAATTCTTTTTGGTCACTTGGACAGAGTTGGCACTACATTCACATTAAACAATGTTCTTCCATTTTTCTAAGTATTGTACTTTAACACCAGCTTGTGGATTTTAAAAACAATCAACATAAATGAAACAAGAATGTTTATGAGTATGTCCAGTACACAAAAATTGGGAAATAGCCCAAATGTTCAAAAGGAATATTTAAATGAATGCAGCTACTAAGATTATCTTTCAAAAGAAACATAATCACAGTGGTTATGAGGAAAGTTAAAAATTTACATATATAATATGCTCCTGATTTTGACTTAAAATGTCTATCTTATGCTTATTAAACAAAATGGGAGGAAAAATATCCAACTATTAAAAATTATCTTTGTGAAATTAAACATTTTTCTTCATTCTATTTTCCCAAATTGCCTACAAATTAGTTTTCTAAAACCTTTTAAATTTAACATACAAGGCATTCTTTAAAAAGCCCATACATTTCAATGCTTTAGCTTTCTCAGTTAATTAATTTCATATTTTGCTGAAACCTGATAGTTCCAACATTTGCAGCCCGTGTTCAGTCACATTGCTCTAGAGGGAAAGGGTTAGGATTCCTCCTCCACAGCCATTTTTGCAAAACTACATCCTGAGCCCTTCAAGAACTAGTTTGCAGAGCAATACACAAAAAAGTGAATTTACATTTTAAGGCACACTACCATCGGAATGTTATTAAAAAGTGCCAATTTTTAGATTCTTTTACCAAACAATACAGGATCACAAAACTCCTTCTTGCAGTATATACTAAGCCTACATCATGGAGAAATGTGATGTTAATCTGAAAGATCATGGTTTGCCTGAAAAGAGCACTGAGAATACTTCATCACCCCAAGGGAAATGGCATGGGGTTTCTGTGGGGTAATGAAAGTGTCATCACTACTTAGGTATGTGGTTCGTTTGCCACGTTAATACACAAGTCCCAAATAACAACACTTTCTTCCCAGGGTGGAGATTTTAACGTAACAAAAAGTTTACTTAAGTTCATTTAGTCAATTGAGTAGTTATAAGACTCATAAAGGTTTATAAAACAGGTTGATTATTGAAGTAATCCACCTTAGAATCCAAGGCTTTTTAACTATATTCCTATTTATACACCTCTTAATTCTTAATATTGCAATTAAATTAATCATTGTACAACAATCCTTGAGATTGGCAGATCTTTGGGGAAACCTATAGATCTCCAATACCTGAGATTATGAATGACAATAGGGGTCCCAGCTATCATTGTTAAACCATTTACCTGGGTGCCCTGTTAAGACTTAAAATCACGGAACATGCCATGTGCAAAATGGCAACAAACATGTCACAGAGTTGTTGGAAGCACTGGAGATGCGCTTGGTGTCTGAGGAAAATCAGGTTGTCACTTGTCAGTACCAAGACACCGTAAAGTATACCTCCAAGTATTGTGGCTAAAGGAAGTTTTCATCTTAACTCACAGTAACCTCAAACTCCAGGGTTCAAGAGAGCCTATTCCCTTAGTAGCTGGGACTACAGGATAGTTATTGTTTTTAATAGAAACAAGGTTGTTCTCAGATCAACCAGAGTTCAAGCAATCCACTAGCTTCATCCTCCCAGAGTGTCAGGATTACAGGCACGAACCAGAAAGATCCCTTGAACCTAGGAGTTGCTGTGAGCCAGGCTGATGCCACAGCACTCTAGCCTGGGCAACAGAATGAGACTACCTCAAAAAAAAGGGGGGTGGGGGGGCGAGTGTTAAAAAAAGATATCCCATAGTTCTCCAAATACAGTATTGTCCATTATTTTAATGTTCTGACCTGGATTATAAATCTAATGTAAATCAGACTTTGAATTTTACTACTCTTGACCTAAGCTTATATATATATATATATAGTGGCTCATCATTTGCTAAATAAGGAATTCTGAGCTCTCCAAGAGACCACTTTCAAACTGAAGTGACCTAAAGAATAAAGTTTAAAGGTGGCACAGAAAAGGATCAAAGTGACTCGAAGAGCAAGGTTTCTGTCCGATGAAAGTTGCTGATGTAAAGGAGACACTATAATAAAGATCAAAGTGGTATGAAAGAAAGGTTCAGATAAAAGGGCCAGTCTTCAAATACCCCCACGTCTCAGCCTACAAAAGGAAAGAGATTTATGCTCCACAACAGTGGCTAGAGTTGCTATCAAAATACTCTATCATTAACCTACAATTGTTTCCCTTAGAGAAAAAAAAAAAAAACAAAAAACAAACTATAAACCATTGGGTCCCCAAATACCACAAAGAAACCAAACATGCATACTGACATTTATAACATAAAAAAACCCACACAGAATTCAGTCTTAATTTTTATTACTCAAAAAAAGCTTCATTTTCTTATTTAGCTTTCTGACTCTGTGCTTGTGCCTTCAACACTTTCACAACGATTTTCTGCTCCTCAATAAGGAAAGCACGCTTGATCCTAGAAAGGAAGATATTAAAATGAACAGCTTTTAAAAAGTGAACTTTACATTTTAACATAGAGTAAGAAAAGTATCATAAAAGGACTAAGCAAAGCAATCAAGAGAACCTAGGAAAGTATGTGAAAAGTGTAAAAAGTACAGATTAAAATTTAAGAATAAAATTATATGTATGGACCCTTTCAGCCTAAGGTCTCCTTCCCACACTGACATTTAGATTGGGGTAATCCTTCAATTCCATGTCAGTAAGACCTGCTCTCTTCATCTGAGTCAATCATCTCCACAAATCACTCTGCCACTTATGACAGCTTTAATTTCTTTACTAGGATCCAGGCCATAAGGGTATTACTTAACTTAGCCTCAGACTATTTTAACCCCATTTTCTAAAATTTCCAATAAAAAAACATAGAAGGGGCTACGTGCTGAGAGCTAAAATTAAGGAATAAAGGACTTTAGAACAAGAGGAACTTCATCAAGAGCAAAGATTCCAGAGCCTGTGTGGCCGACCCTACCACACACTACCTATATCCTTGGGCAACCTACAATAATACACTGTTGCGTAAGATCTAACAAAGGCAGGTACTCCTCAACAGTTAAATTCAAGTTACTTCCAGAGGTAAAGTACTCATCTTGTTTCCTCTGAAACCTATACCACCCTACTTTTACCCATTTTAAGATAAAAATGTCTTTTATCCCAATTACCTCTGGTTATTTAATAACCTAGACTCAAAACCCTGAGATAGCCAATTCCTTCAAATCTCTGATGTAGTCAGATTAGAAATACAACTAATAGTGCCCTTAAAATTTCTCTAAATTTACTTAAAGCAAAGACCACATGAAGACTTGCTGAGCATCTAGGCTATCCTGTTCATATAAATTCAAATACCCAGAAGCTGGGGCTTGAGAATTTCTATTTTTAATAAATGTGCCCATCTGATTATGTTCAGCAAAGTGTAATATGCAAAGACTAATAAAAAGTCAAACTCCTTTAGCTTGAGACTCACAATCTGTTCATCTCCAACTGCTACTCTTCTAAATCGATTAATTCATTTGTGAAAACCAATCACCTAAGCCAATTTTAAATATCCAGTGGGGTTAAGATTAAAAGTTTCAATAAAACCTGGACTGAATCTCAATACTATTCCTTATCAACTATGTGAACCTAAGCATAAGTCTTGGTTTCCTCACCAGAAGACCTGGGAATAGAAATTCTTTTCTGATAAATTTGTGATAGTTTTTAATCATATAAACACTAAGTAAATGTTGCCATCACAAAGTCCACTACCCTTCTTACCTATGCTACAATTCTTTCCATATCCAAAAAACCCAGCCCTCTACTTGGAATACTCTAGCCCCTACCCAGCCTTCAGGTCTTAATGCAAGTGCCATTTCCTCATCCTTCACACAGAGAAAATGTATGTTCCAAACAAGCATGTTTTGTTGAACAACTGAATACACTGTCCACCCTGCAGCAGTTTCTGGCACACACAAGATTTTCTACTCGGTTAAAAATTCATCAATTCCCACATTTTAAAGAATTAGGTTAAAAATGTCTTTTAGCCCGTAAGGCCCTTCATAATCTGGTTTTCCTACCTTTTGCTGTCCATCAGCTCCTACAACCCTCTCCGCTCAAGCCACATGAGCACTACACACAGCTATTTTATTCCTATAGATTTAACAGCTTGTACCCTCCATCTATCTATATCCAAACCACTTAAACAAATTTCCTGACCTGCCTCCCTAACAAAACCAAGTTTCTTTTTCTTTTCTTTTTTTTTTTTTTTGTGAGACAGAAATCTTATTAAGTTGCCCTTGGTAGAGTGCTGTGGTGTTATAGCTCACAGCAACCTCAAACTCTAGGGCTTAAGTGATTCTCTTGCATCAGCTTCCCAAGTAGCTGAGACTACAGGGGCCTGCCACAATGCCGGGCTATTTTTTTGTTGTTGTAGTTGTCGTTGTTTGGCAGACCCAGCTGGGTTCGAACCTGCCAGCTCTGGTTTATGTGGCGGGTGCCCTCGCTGCTGAGCTACAGGGGCCAAGCCAAAACCAAGTTTCTTATAATTTTTTCACCTACCATAAAGATGCCCCAAATTCTGACTGTATTAATTTGAATATCATTTGTACTACATCAATGATCTGTAGATTCTATAATATGCAACTTGAGTTACTTGAAATATGAAAATGAGTTACTTTTTTCATCAGTCTAATAGTATATAGCATGATAGATGCACGTACACATACTCACTTAAGCAAGCCCATTTAAATATTTTACCTACCTGTCACGAACACATTTAGCACACATGGAACCACCATAGGCCCTGCTGACGTGTTTTTTTGTTTTAGACAACCTCATAAGAACTTTAGGTCTCACAGCACGAACCTGCAATAAGGAAAACATTGAGTTTATTTTGTGATGTTTTAACAGAAACAGAAAATTTCATAGATTCTTTCTTTTTCTGAGACAGAGCCTCAAGCTATCCCCCTGGGTAGAGTGCTGTGGCATCACAGCTCACAGCAACCTCCAACTCCTGGGCTCAGGTGAGTCTCTTGCCTCTGCCTCCCAAGTAGCTGGGACCACAGGCGCCCACCACAACACCTGGCTATTTTTTGGTTGCAGCAGTCATTGTTGTTTGGCGGCCCGGGCTGGATTCGAACCCACTACCTTAGGTGTATGTGGCTGGCGCCTGAGCCACTTGAGCCACAGGCGCCGGAGCTGATTTCATAGATTCTGATAGGTGCTGAGAGCAAATAGTAAACTACGCTAAAGGGAAATGGCGCACTGACTCATGTGAAAGGCATTTCACTGCATTTCTCACATTGGCTTAGAGGTAGGTCTATATTCTTGGAGGATTTGGATCATGCATGATGTTTGTTAACATCAAAAAGAACTCTTACCCCTCGAAGTCTGCCTGGGCACACGCCACATGCTGATTTTGGTGCTTTCCCAACCTTCTTGGTATAAAGGTAAACAATTCTGTTACCAGGGGTTCGGGACCTAGGAAGTGAAAATAGGCAACAGGTCAGCATTGTGTAAGGTGAATAAATAAATGACAATATGTACTTTAAAATTTTAGAAATACTTACAGCCTGGTTTTGTTAGAGGCTGTATTGTAGGAAAGCCTACGACGGTACGTCAAACGCTGCACCATTTTGAGTGCCTAAATTGAGAATGAAATAAAATCAAGTTGTACCATTGTAAAAGTAATCCAAACCTCAAAACAGCATCATGTAATCAATACATTCTTATATAAAATCCCTTATGTTGTCTTAAAAGATTCCACACTTTAACTTATTTTTACAAGTGACTGAACATAAAAGGCAATGAATGTTAGTTTTCCTGATGTTAACCAAGAGTGACACTTCACTGAAACCGACCACCAGGCTCCTTACACGGTCTGATTTTGTTTGGAGTGGCGTCCAGATTAAATGCCACCACCAAGCAGCTTGGATACATGGCCTTACCCAAAGCATAAGAACTGAGCTCTTAAGTTGAATCCTTAGCTGTGCTGCTTAGTGGCAATACACAGCACTGAAGTGGGATTTCTGACTTTTATATAGCTGTTATTAGGATTTTATTACAAAAGCTACCCAACACAATACAGTGCCTGCCACATAGATGGTCAGGGTTTTATGTTTTGCTCCAAAATAAGATATGAGCCAAGGAAAAGTCTCTTCTGACACGAACTTTATTGCAACAACGCCTTTAGATGACCAGTTTTCTCCCCCTGCCTATCAACTGGAAAAAATATTTGATAATGTTATTTAACAAACCGATCACACAGATACGCGTATAAGCAACTTCGTTTTTCAGTGAACTACCCAAAGTAACATTAAACACATACAAGACTTGAGCCAATCTCATCTTTCATTCCAAGCCTTGCAACCACTTCGTAACAGGATGCTTCCTAACAGAATTTTGTTACTTAAAAGAAAAAAGTCTGCATTTGTCGTCCCAAGGATCTAACGTTACGTTAAAAACTATAAGACATCAGAACTAATATGTAAGGCCAACACGAGCGACCCAGGAAGTCACCATCCCATTTGCCGATTCCAAAACCAAGATTCTAAACTCCTCCCAAACACATTTTTCTCTTCCTTGCCATAGACCTTGAAAACTGATGCCAATAGTGAAACTACCCCCCGAACTTGGCGGCCCCACGCCCTTCCACACCCTGAGAATATCTACCAGCGCGGTATTAAAACGTAGGCATAAGATGTGAAAATGTTCGACGATTTTCTACTGTTAACGAGACAAACTACAACACATTTCTGTCTCTGAACGCTGTATTTTGAAGGCGGCAAAGCCCGGGGTAGTCAGCTCCGGCCACTCACGGTTTCGAAAGTGCAGTCACGATCGACGGGTTTCCAAAACTATAAAAAGGGAACTTGCTCACCACCAACCTCTCTCCTACTCTTTTTAATCCCTACGCCAACTCAAACAACCGTTCTGACGACTCTCAGCTCCTCCAACGTCTCAGATGGCAGCCGATTGTAAAGTGACTAGAGAGGAGAAAAAAAAAATCAGCTTCCATACCTCTAAACAGCGTCCCCGGAAGAGGAAAACAAAATGGCGAGTTTAAAGGTCAAACATGACTGCGCAGGACAGGAAGTTGCGTCAGAACCAGTCGCGTGGCTGAATGCGTGCCGCCATGTTGTACGAAAGTCTAAGCGCACCGCCCCTCCGGGGTGGGAAATGCAGGGCGCGGCCCCCAAGTACTGACAGCGACGTACAGCCCCTTTGTGGGCGGAGCTGTGGTCCAGTTCTCCAGGGCAAGTTTGAAAATCGTTGCAGAGACAAACATAAATGACAGAGGAACTGCAAAAGGCAGAAATGGAGCAAAATAAACTTTCCTTCTCATGGGCAATATGACACTTTAAGCCAGCTGACACTAGTGCCAGCTCTAGGGTTAGACCTGAGTTTAAATCCCAACTGTTGACACTTATGTTTAGGTGTCCTTCAAGGATCTTTTCTTGTCATTTATTCAAAACACAGGCTTTACAAACAAATTGGGATTTTATTCCAGCATCTGCTAATTACTGGCTATGTTATTTTAGGCAAATCATTAAACCTC